CCAAGCGAGCCATTGATAAGGAGTCCAGAATCTCAGGAAGGGGAGGGGGAACTCACATGGGTGGGATGCCTCCAAGTAGCCAGATGTGGCCTGCTTTGATCCCCCGCCCATCCTGATGGGACAGGCATCATTGCTCTTACCAGGGAGGAAGATGAGGCTTGGAGGTGCCACCCAAATCAGAGCTCCTGGGGACGAGAGCCAGTGCTTAACTCAGATCTGACAAACCCAGAGCCGGAGCTCTCCCCCACTTTCCAAAAGGGCAGGAAACAGGCTGGTATTCAGTTGAGGCTTATTAACTGTTTATGGAGAGGAAAGGAAGGGAAATGAACATTCATTGAGCACCAAACCTGTGCAGAGCTCCCAGGAACTGGGGAGATAGGGTGAATACAATGCCGTGCCTGCCCTGGAGGCATTTACGGTGGGTGGGAATGAAAGCCCAGGAAGGGGAAGGCCTGGGAGGGGAAGTGGCGTGCACAGGAAGAGCAATCGCTCACGTTCGTTGTGTACAGGCCGTCTTCTAAGTGCTTTTCAATAGTATTTATTCAGATCCAAGCCATACAAGTATTATTGTCTTCATTTTACTGATGAAGAAACTGAGACAGAAATTAAGTAACTCGTCCAAGATCATCAACTTAGTAAGCAGAGTCGATATTCAAATCCAGCCTGACTCTAGAGCTACATTTTCTTCAAACCATCAAAAGAGAATAGGCTAGTTGGTCCCTTTATTACAGTGCTTGATACAATTCTTTTATCCACCAGCGTAATTTGAGGGGAAAGTTCCTATAGAAAAACCAAGCCTACCTACCAACTTCTCTCAGTGTGTGGTCAGGGTTCAGGCTTTCCTTTTTTTTTATTTGACACTGTCCAATTCCTGTTTTCATAACAACACACCTAGAATAACAACCCATTAGTCCACAGCGGGCAATGTAGGTGTGGACCAGAACACTCGATGTGGCGTGTCCAGACCATTGCCCCTAGGTCCAGTGTCTTTACACGAGCACGTGTGTAACGTAGAGCCAGAGTTTGCCTGGGAGGCACGGAGCCAGAGACAGGGGCTTGCTGGGTGGTGCAAGAAGGGATTCTCAGCCATCATAGTTTGAGGTTTCCTTTTCCGTGGATGGCTTTGCCAGTAGGAGCAGAACACTTAAAATCAATTCGCCATTTCTTCTCGATTCTCCATCTACAAGTTCTGCTGTCTGAAGACAGATGGCTTCAGCCTTCTTAGAGCTGCCTTTATTGAAAATGCCCCAGATTTCTCCACCAGAGTCATTTCATGTGGTTGACAAAGCAGTGAGTAATGGGGAGATGTGGGACCAAAAAAAAAAAAAAAAAAGTGATGGCCTGGAAGCACTGGAATTGTCATTTTAAACACATTCTAATATCATTCATTCAAGTGACATAAAAGGAAAAACGGGAAGGTGAAAGATTTTACTACCATTACTGGAGTGAGAAGTGACCAGGTCAAGAATAGTGCCTCTGGTCCATAAGTAGCCTAAGTGCCTCTGGCCAAAAGCGCATAAAAGCATGAAATATATGATGGCTATTTGGATGATAGATGTTTCTGAATAAAGAAATAGGTGAGGGTCTTGTGTGTGGACCAGAGTCGTTACTAAAAATAGTAACCTGGCGTTAGCCAGTTTCAGAGGATGCCGTGATGAAATTCCCCACGGCCCCTTGAGATTGGTTCTTTTTATGATGGACCCCCCAAGAAATTACAGCTTTTCTCTAAAGTCGGAGACGCTCAGGCTTTGCCAGCTACAGCAGGTGACAAGGCAGGTGATTTAAGATGGGGGAAGCACCGCCTCTCCTCCACTAAATCACATTTTCTCTTGCCCTCTGTCGTTCCGAGTCACCTCGCAGCGCAGTCTCAACCTGCCATAATTCATCCGCCCTCGGCCCCTTCCTGGGTTTCTTCTGTGCCTTCGGAAACCCAGCCCGTCCGTCTGGTTGGAGGAATTGGAAATGCATCTTTTAAATAAAGGATCGCGTGGCTTTTGTGCCCTGACAGTGAACACTGTTTGGTGATGACTCAAAGCCAAAGTGGAAAGCGTTAAAAACCAAAAACAAACCTGGCCTGGCTTTGGTGGGTGAGGTGCAGGTGAGTGACTTTTCACCTGCTTGTTGGTGACTCACTGTAGTATTTCTCATAGGTCAGTCAGTCAGTAGCTTCAATCAGTGTTCTTCATTCTTTTCACTCTACCACCACCCTCATATTGTATTACTCCCCCCCCCACCCCATTTTAGATAGAGTCAAAGCAGATTGTATCTTGAAATGAATAATCCAGGTCGCCACAGTTGTCTTCAAGGAGGTAATCATATGTGCTAGTTCTTGTCAAATTATAGTGTCTTTTTCCCCATTTTGAAGTTATCCTGTTCCTGGTTACCTGACTCTATGCCTTCTTGTTTGTTGGTATGGTTACATATTATCTTAATGGGCAGATTTTTCCCCAGATGCAGAACTAATGAAGTTTAGTTGAAGATTTTAAAAGGTTGTCAACTTTAATCTTCAACTTTTAAGACTCCAAATACTAGTTCTGCAGCTTCTGTAAGCTGGAAAAAATATATCCCCCCAAATAATAAGGAAAACAATGTATAAACATTTCCCAAACTATTCTATCCACAAAGAATTCCATTTATAAATGGAATACACCCTTCTGTGTCTTTGCCTTAGAGCTTGGGGATAACTGTTTGTATTTGCACATTTTCTGAATTTCTGCAGTTTACACTTGTTTATGGTACATTGGGGAGTTTAGAGTAACCATTTGCAAATGTTTGAAGATATTCAAAAGAAAATATCCCCCCTCCTCGATTTTCCAGGGAAATGACATAGTCTCTTTAAGTAAAGTAATCAATGGAAAAAATGTGTACTGTGAATAACCCTTTCACCCTCACTTTTTCCATTCCTGAGGAGCAGCAAGTCCATACCACTTCCCACTTTTGTGGCTCCTAGTTTTCTTATGTCTTCCTAAAGCCAGAAAGAAAATCTGAGACTATCTTCCTCAGCCCCAGTTCCTGGTGCCCGCGCCACCCCCCGCCCCCCTCCCCCACCTCAGCAGCAGGGCTCCCCTCCACTTTAGTCTTCCTTAGGAGCTGGAGGAGGCAGCTGTCGTTTTTTCGCCTCTTGGATTTTAGACTTTAATTTTTCATCTGGTCATTGAGCCACAGTCCTAGAAAGGGCTATTTCAGGAGGGGGTCAGGGGGCTCACCTCATCAGGAAAGCCAAAAAGGTAGAGGTGACATGTAACTCTTGCCAATTTAGTTTCTCCAGCTGAGAAGTTTGAGAGAGTAGTAGTCTTCCTGGGAAGTCAAGTTCGTACATTTGAAATATTACTATGGGTGCCTACTTTTAAAGCAAGAAGAAGAAAAACAGAGTGAGGAGAGAAAAGCGGTGCCAATGGGATGTGCGAATCCTATGCCAGGCTTGAGGTTTTCAGTGCTCCAGTAGCTGATTGTTGGAAATGTTAGTTACTGACATGAACCTTAGCGTTGAAGTTCCGGCACCTGTCAGGCTGCAGGTGCTGCCCACCTCTGGGTGTAGGTCATTCAGAGCCAGGTCAGCAGCGCGTGCACACACGAGTGGCGAGGACCTGGGAGAGTGCTTGCTGTGGTCACTTCAGGCTCAGAGAGGAGAGATTTCTGGAATAAGCCGTGTCAAGATGGGCCTTAGACACATCTTGTGCAATGCTGCTGGGTCCCCTTATGAGGAGGGATTGAAGGAGGCCTTGTAATGTGCAAGTATCTGGCTTTTGGCTATTAACCCAATGCGATTTTGATGGAGTAGGAAATGACTTATGTGACCGGGTATTTATTTCTTTCAGATGTAGCCATACCCCTCCATCTTCAGTGGGCTTGGGACTGAGGTAAGGGAGGGAGGTGGTTAGTGCACAAACTTTAAAGAGGGCCTCACTCCCAGGGTCGTGCAAGGGCAGCGCTAGTCCTGGCCCTGATCTCCAGACTTCTGACCCACGTGGCTGCTCCCTGAAGCTGGTTTCCTGGCTCCGGGGACTAGTCTCTGGGTGGCCTTTAGCAGTTCCTTGTAGATTTATGTAGAATGTTTTATGTGCCCGGGCACAGAGGCATTTTCTTGGGAGGAGAGGTCTATAGAGTTTGACTTATGTATGAAAAAGTATACCTTACATCTCTG